TCCTGCTGACTGGGCCGATTGTTGAGCTCGGGCTGGGTCTGGAGCTCCCAGAAAGCCGCAGGTTGGAAAGCATGGCTGCGCTGGGCAGACGCCCGCCCACCTGCCTGCTTCACTAAAACTCTCTCTACTCACTCTCTCTCTCTAAAGAACACAAGAATAGCAACAGAACTAAAAAGATACCTTGGCGCCCATGTGCACTAACTACACACACACACACACACACACACACACACACACACACACACACACACGCTTACAGAGGAGGTGCTAAAACCACACCCAACTGGACCCAAGGCAAGGGCCCTGACTAAACTATTCTATTTTCCCAACAAGGGCGTTCTAGGCCACCAGAAGCAATGGAAGCCAATACTGTTGGCGAAAGGAGAAGCATGATGTGAAGGGCGTTTAGAAGCTTCCTTTAGCTGCAAGTGGCTCAGAAAGGACTAGGGTGGGAAGAGGGACTGTGGGAAAACCAATAAGAAGGCTCCAGGAGCCCAGGCCAGAAGAGATTTAAGACAAGACAGCAGCAGTGCAATTGAAACAGAAGGAAATATTCAGACATATATAGTCATGTGTCACTTAACAACAGGGACACATTCTGAGAAATGTGTCATTCAGTGATTTTGTCACTGTGTGAACCTTGTGGCATAGCCTACTGCATAGCCACCATCATATATGTGGTCCATCACTGACCGAAATGTCATTATGTGGTGCATGACTCTACACAGCAGGCCTTGGTGAGGGATTGAAATAAGATGGGTGTCAAAGATGTCTCTAGCAGCAATAGATAATGGGGTAATTCCCGGAACACTAGGGGAGACCAGATTGTCTGACAGAAGATCCTGGGTTTAGACCTGGACATGCTAGATTTACAAGTCTGGCGCACATGGAGATAATTCCCACCTCCACACCACAAAAGCACAAAACTCAGGAATGACAGACTTTGCAAAGAGAACAACAATCTAAAGCAATCTGGATTTGAAATAACTCACTAAATGATTTATAGCCCCATAATTTCCCAAATGTCTGTATTTATCAAGAAAAATGCCCAATATTTAGGTGCCTAAAAAAGAGCCAGGCTAGCTCACTGAACAAATATCAGTGGCATGAAAACCATATAAAGGCTATTTTAGAAATAAGCCTCATCCTCAAAATTTGTTTATTCAAAAGAAATAGTGAAAAGATGTTCAGGGAACAGGCAAATATTTGGGGGGAGAGGTCTTACGATATGACAGCCCACAATGAGCGTCTATTGTCAGTGCTAAGGCTTCAATGCACTCTGGCTTCTTGCAATTCCACCTCTTCCACCACTTTTGACCCTCCAATTGTCCAAGCAAGTTCTAACTTTGAATACAATGGTTCCCATGGTGATAGAAATTCTGTAATCAGGAGAGAGGAGTTGTAGGAATGATTCATATGTCATTTGTAAATGCTGTATATACATGGGTAAGAAGTGAGATTTGACTTTAGATATCTGAGATAGTTGGGGAAAATCCCAATGAAGATCCCAGTTATTACCTTATTATACTGAAAGCAAAATGACTAGGGCATGAAAATTCTTGCTTTCTGTGGGCTGACACACAGAAAGAAATTGTCTCTGCTATTAGAAAAGGACTGTAGCCCTGATTCTTTCAGGAGAGCACCAATCTCACCATCTTATTCACACGGCAGAATAGCATTCTGGAAAACTAATAGACATGTTAAAGTTATCACAGATTGCATTTCAGATGAACCACTGACAAAATTAGCACGAAAGTTTTTTACCATGATTATTCCTTAGTCAAGATTTTACTGAAAGGATGGCAGATGGTAAACAGGGGAGGGGGAGGGCATTCTACCAGGCAGTATGGCAATTCAGGCAGCACTACAACTTCCTCAATTTGAAACACACACGCTCTTTAGCACAAGCACATACTAATTTTGTGGGAGCTAAGGACCTGATGCTGCTTCTAACCAGATACAACCCAAATCTGTGCGATGGGCTGAAAAGGCCACAAAGTCAGCAGAACCAAAGACGAAAGACATGAAAAATACCCCAGTTATGATGCCGGTCAGATTAGTTGCACACCTATTCATTTCTCTTGATCTCAAAGCCAGAAATAAATCATAACTGAAAAAGCAGGGCTATGTTAGATGCTACACAAAAACAGTACAATTAAACAAGACAAAACCATATACCTTACTGGCATTTGGACAAGCACGAAAGACTTCTATCATCCTGGATACTCATAACACAACTTGACGAAAGACATGAAAAATACCCCAGTTATGATGCCGGTCAGATTAGTTGCACACCTATTCACTTCTCTTGATCTCAAAGCCAGAAATAAATCATAACTGAAAAAGCAGGGCTATGTTAGATGCTACACAAAAACAGTACTATTAAACAAGACAAAACCATATACCTTACTGGCATTTGGACAAGCACGAAAGACTTCTATCATCCTGGATACTCATAACACAACTTCATGAGAGAAGGAAGGCAGATAATATTCCCATTTCACAAATGATAAAACCAAAGCTCTGAGAGCAGTATGGCTACTTTAATTAGGAAGTTTATTCAGTATTAAATCTAGGGAGTGAATCAATGTGAATTTCCATAACTTGGATAGAGGTTACTAAACCCAACAAAACATCAACAACGAAACAATTTACCTTCAATCTTATTACTCTATATTCTAGAAACCCCTCAAAACTGCTATTATGAACTCTCTGGGAAGGTCAAATAACAGCTCAGGCAGAGAACATGGTTTTACCTCTATTATCTTCCCTAAGCTGTGACAGGCTGCCCTCATCAATTTTCGTGCACACAGGCACATAGGCACACATGCTCCCTCACAGTGCCTCTTAATCACCATGTGCCATGCGGAACAGCTGCAGAGGTCTGAAGGGAATTGGCAGAAATGTGCAATGATGTGCTAGCCACCCCTGAGGCAGCAATTGCCCTGCCTGCTCCCAGACGCCACAGCACATGCGTGATCACTGTCGCAACTGATGGGCCCAGAGGACAGGCAAGTGGATTCAGGTGGTGAGTCAGGAAAAGCAGTTTGCATCAGGAATGTTCCAGCCCAGTAGAGCTGAGCTGCATCCTACTCCCTATGTAGGGATACAGTATTCATCATTTATACAATGTCACTGTGGGGGACAAAACTTGGGCTAAGCACAAATAGAATTCAATCAACTCTGTTGCAAAGGAACCAGGAAGCAAGGCTTCCCACTAAGAGGGATCCTAATTGCTTAAGAATTGTCAACATATCTGACACTAGATGTCAGAACATTTATCCTGCAATAGAGGACTTTACAATGGCCTGGCCCACAGTCCTTGAGAGCAGGGCCTCGGGCTAACCTTCCAGAACCATTCAGCAGCTGCTGCAATAAGCTGTGATCTATGTTCCCAGGGACGAAACAGAATCAGGGTAGGACAATATTCAGAGAAACCAGGTGGATGCCATAATACGTGCCACACAACTGGCTGCACACAAATCAAATATGTGCTACCACTCCTTTCAATATGATTTTGGATGGATTTCAATAGAAATCCACTCTTGTGAAAGAATTCCTTGGTTGTCTGTATGTAATTGTTTATGAGCCAGTAAATGAGTGATATGATATCAACTTGCTGAAATAGAGATGTTAGACATTAGATCAGATAAAAGGACATCTAGAAATTGAAAGAGGCTTAAAGCCATCATTTGTACTTCATTTCATGAATGAATACAGCATTCTGTCAAGTTTTATACAATGACAAATGAGCCTATTCTCTGAAGGAACCTGAGGAGATTTAATAGTCATTTTAGGGAATCTAGTTTGGTTTCTCTACTGAAAATCTGGCAATTTTATCTTATGTCCAACTTCAAAATCTCTTGCTATAATTTATCATCCTTGTGACTATAGTACATAATAAAACTGGTTATACTTATATTTATGATACCTTATTTTGGCATTAGTTCAAAAGCCAGAGCCTATCAAACCTGTCACAACATCAATGGTTTAGGTAAGAAATGCTAATGTTACTTTAATGTGTTGAGGCCAGATGAAAAACAGAATTGCCTCACCTTTCTGAAGAGAAGATAAAAATCAATCCAAATATAAAATTTCTCCTAGAATCCCAACTGAAGCAAAGTAAGAAAAATATGGACCACAGCGTCTCCCTGAACAGATTTCCCTCAGTTACCATCAAAGGAAGCATCTGATTTTTTTTCTTTGTTCATCCAGGACACAAAGAACCACTCAGGACTTTCAGGGTGGAGATGTCAGGAAAAATAAGGGAATAATGCTCAAAAATTCACTCTCAGCTTCCTAGAATGGCAAATTCTGTAGCTAGTCATAGAATATTATACTTTAACTAAGAACACAAGGAAATGCATTCTAGGGCTTCTGAACTATTGCACTAGATTGCAAAGTCAATGTGCTACACAAAAATCTGCATAGGACCTACCAAGAAGCCATGCATCCCTTTCCCACAAAAGCTTCCCATAGCACCCAAAGTAGATGCTATAGATAATTTTACAAGCCAGAGAATTAGGGGTGGCATTCACAACACAACGCATTCCAGTAAGCAAGCTCCTATTCCAGGAGAGCCCTTCTTCCCCTCCTCTATAGCCCACCTATCCCTCAAAAGGAGGAGAGGCATAAAAAAGCAGCAATCCTTCCCTCACTATAAATCTTATAGCCCCAGAGTTTTAATGGAGGTGCTTGGAGGGAACAAGAGGGCCAAGTGAATGGAGCTCAGGGCAATATGCAATTATTGAAACTGGAATTGAGCCTGGATGCTGCCGTGAGAGTGTTGGCAATCAAACTGTGGTCAGGGCCCCAATTTTAAACCTCTCCCAAGGGGTACCACTTCCTGACACATAGACATGCCACTTCACTTGAGAGTAATTCTGCTGGATTTGATGGGGGAGTATCATCCGCTGGTAAAGGGCCCAGCTTAAAATAATCACCTGCAGAGAATTAGATTAAGCCTAACCAGTTGCAAATATCTTTCTGTTATCACTTACCTTCTTCCCAATAAGCTTTTTTCGAAGAAATTCCCGAGCCTCAAACATATAGGGAATGTCATACAGGGGACGTAGCTTCTTATTTTTATCCTAAAAGCAAATAAAATACCACATCAGAAATACATTTAAAAAACAACAAAAAACAACAAAAAACAGCCAATAGTATAAGGTACTGGAACATATTTGAAATTGGCTACCTCCTAGATCACAAATATTAAATAAATGCTAGACAAATACTAAATGATTAATAAAGATTTGGTTGAAATGCTTTATTGGAAGTAGAATTATCTTTTTCCTATGACAGCTCAAAAATAAGCAATGGAATGTTTGTAATTACCCAAACTGGAAACAACTTAAACATTCATCAATGGGGAAATAGCTATATAAACTATAATATAGAAGAAACTCAACACATATTAGGACCCTTCAAATATTTATAGATATTCTATAAATCTAATTCTACTAATCCAAAAGCCTTTATTGAGCACCTACCAACTATTCGCTCCATACAAAGCATTCTGTAAATATATGTATAATTCTGGACTCACAGCAGTAGAAGAAATCCTGCAGATATGAAAAAGCAGAAAGCAGTTTTGATTAAGTGCTAAATAATGTGATATATACTAGGGACTAAAAGGGACTAAATGCTAAAAAGAAAGAAGTAATCAAGTAATGTTTCATTGACAAGGTGAGATTTAATGTGAGTTTGCAGGATAGGAAAGAACTTGAAAGAAAAATAAAGTTGACAAAAAACAGAACAAGCAAAAGGAAGGAGGCAGGAAGAATCAGTATTTAAACACACACACACAATTATTTCATTACCTCATGGACTCAAGACTCCTCCCAAAAGATGTGACTGCTCTAAGCAATGATTTTGAGATTTTGAGTGAGTGTCTAGATGGAGACAGAAGTAGGAATGCATAGGAAATCAAGAGATATGAGAACCATTTAAAGATGAATTAACAGGAATTGACAACGGAGCAGAGAGAGGGGTTAAAAAGAGTTGTAATCCAACACTGAGTCATGATGAAAGGCAAAGAAATGAGGAGACTTTTTTTTGGGAGGGGGTGTAGTGGTGGCTGGCCAGTTTGAGGATCCAAATCCTTAACCTAACCTTGATGTATCAACACCTCCCTCTATCCAACTGAGCTAACTAGCTAGTTCTACGTTTTGCCTTTTGGTGGGAGGTGTGGAGGAGTGGAGAATGTGTATAAGAAATAAGAGAGCTTGGCTAGACTGGGTGGTATGATTACTTTAATCTCTCTCTCCCACTAGACTGTAAATTCCAAAACAACAGAGACCCTGTCCATTTCTGTTAAGTCACCAGAGCCAAGTATAGTGCCTCCCTCAATACTCAGTAATTACAGTCAGATTAAATAGTTCGAAAGGAAATGTGCAGAATGATAATAAACATCCAGTATGCTAGGAGAATAGGTCAGTATGTGTACAGATCTGGGAATCTCTAGGACCCAGATAATATTTGAAACAACTACAGAAAGAAAGGAAAAAATCAAGGACTAATTCCTTAAAACTTAGATTTATATCATTCATTCATTCACACCATTCATTGTCCTCTATGGTTAGCTGACCTGGCCAAATATTTACCATCTGTTATGCATATGATAAAATAAGATACCTCTGTATAATCCATTCTGTTCTCAAAGAAGATTTTCATTGGTTATTTTTTTCTTAAATAGCCAACTGCTTCCAAGTAAAGAAGCTTCATCATTTTAATACACCATTTCTAAATTCATACTAATGTCAATATTGAGGTTTTAAAGGGAATAGAAATAGATGTTTTCTCCCAGACGCTAACTAAGCCTCAGTGCCCTGAACAAATCATATAAACATCTCAATGCATTGATATGACCAAGAAAAATCTCTTACAATAACATAGATAATTCTTTCAGTTACAAGGAAATTTGAGCTTCACATTCATTATCCAACTGTCTCCTACTTCTGTTTTTTAAAAAAATGGCCATCATTCCAGTTCTCTTCTAGGAAGATAAGGCACCTCCTTCTCCCAGATGATGTGTGGGATCCACATACTCTAAACAGAAAGAACTAGGGTGGCCAAACTCTGATCAAGGAACTGGGGTGTTCTTGGTCACTGCATAATAAGTGGTGTGTGACACTAAACATGAAAATCTTTAGAGGAACAAAAGAACATTGAGGCTTTGTTACAGGAAATAACAAGGAAAATGAGATGCATGAGATTTGCAGAGACTAGGGGAATCCTGGGTAACACAAGGGACAGATATACAGGATTATGGATATTTTATAAACATCCTGGAAACCATGTGAAAATAGTGGGTCACAAACTAGAGATTTATCTAGGAGCCATGTGCAACATATAAGCCCCAAAATAGAGTTAGTGATGACATTCAATGGTATAGTAAAAATACTTGGACAGAGGATACCAGGTGCCAGTAAATGAACAGGATTTTTAATAAAACCAAAATCAATGGTTATCAGAATCAGCCCTCAGGAATGAAGAAATACCATTGTATCATATTCACCAAGCAACAGAGGACAATCTACTTACAGAGAGTAGCTGTGTGATTACAAAAACGTAAGTGAAAAACACTTTAAAGAATGAATTGAACAAAATAACAAAATAACAACATTTACCTTACATAGCCTTATGATTTGCATCAGAACCCGAATTTCTGCATCTTACCCTACACACCCTGAAACACATAGAGGTATAAGAGAATGACAGTTGATTGGAACTCCAAAATTAGGAATGAAAGGTAAGAAATACAGTTCCGACAAGAATTCAAATGAAGATCATGGGATGAGCTATACCTAAATGTGTGAAAATGGTCATCTAAATAAGAATCCCGTTTTTAAGACACTCCACAGGACTGGGCCAACCCAAAATACCCACAAAAGAATGAAAATAAATAATATACCAACAAACACCCCAATAAAAAACAAGGCAACTTCAGAGTCTGATTATATGTCTCTCATGAAGCTAGGAAAGATGCACAAGCAGAAAACAAGATATCACAAGTGAAAACAGAATGATCTTGTTACTCTAACCCTTCAGAGCTAGTAGTTATTGACATCCGCAAACATCTTACAAGAGAGATATATTAGAGGTCCCTAAGAAACCACAAAATAAAAGCAATTCCTCCAAATTACTAGGTACATAAAAGCCTATGAAATCTCTAAGAGGCAATTGAGGTATGGAATGTATTCTGAGAAAACGGGACTTCAGTTCAATCTTGCCTGTTAAAAAGAACTGTCTAGTTTAGATTCTAATTTACATGGAAATATTTTTTAAAAAATAAAAATAGAAAAGAATGCTTGCTTTATCTGGTGGGAGGATAATATACAAACCAATATGTGCTGTAATCACTGTTCATCCTGAGATTGCATGTAGGCCTTGCAATGACTCACATTAGAGACGGAAGAGATAACTTCAGTCATCTGTACCTTACAACAGTTTGGGAGGGTGGCCCAACACCCACATCTCAGCATCTGAAAACATGCCTGGCATTTTTATAGGAAGATATTCTTGGCTGGTTACAAAAAACGGGGGTGGGAGAAGGGTCACCTCTGGTTAATGTTCATTTGGAGGAACTGAAAGAGACCTCTAATCAAGTCCTTATTCTCAAACTCTGTTCAGGCCTAATTTTACCTAGCCTGTCCTTAAAAACCGTACTCACAAAACTTATTGACCTTGGGATGCAAGATTTCCTAAACAAGGTGGAATAGAAATAAATTTTGAAAAAAACAGGTCAGTGTGGCTCCAATAAAATCTAAAAAGTTCTTTACTGAAAAGACATGATGAACAAAGTGATGATGTCTCAAAGTGATGATGTTTCAAACCACAGACTGGTGATAAGTGAAAGAGAAAGAAAAAGTAGAGCAGGATGAGAGGGAATTGGGGTATGGGGCCACAGCTGTACTATGATCAGGGCAGGTCTCACTGAGAAGATTACATTTTATCAAAGACTCAAAGAAGTAAGGGATATCCAGTCATGTAAAGAAAGGCAAAAAGAACAGTCAGTGCAAATTAGGAGCATGCCTGGTGGGCAAAGATACCACTATGGTTAGAGCAGAGTGCAGGAGGGGTGGTGGTAGGAGATAAAGACACAGATCTGACTTAACATTTGAAAGAATTACTGTGTTGGCCTTTGTGTTGAAAATAGGCAATGAAGCAAGGGAAGAGTGGAGCAAGGATGACAAATTAGGAGATATAGTAATCTGAGCAGGAAATGATGGTAGATTATATCAAGGTGGTAGTAATAAGGGAGATAAAAAGTGCTCAGAACTGGAAATATTCTGAAAGCAGAGAGATGAAATATGAAGTGTGGAAGAAAGGGAGAAACCAAGGATGACTCCAAAGTTTTACATGAGCAAACAAAACATGGGTGAGGTTATTAAGTGAGACGAGGAAGGCCACAGGCAGAGTAGATTTAGAGGGAGGAAGGTAAGATCAGGAGTTCAATTATGGACACGCCAAACTTCAACTGTTAGATATCTAAGTGAAGATATTCAGCAGAATGGGCAGTTGGACATATAAATGTGGAATTTGGAAGAAAGGTCTGAACTGGTGAAATACATTTGGGAGTTGTTGGCATACAGGTAAATAGATAGTTGGCAAATAGATATCTAAAGCCAAGAGACTGAAGGGGGCTGATAACTGAGTCCTCAGGCATTCTAACATTAAAAGGTCACGAATCTGCAAAAGGAGATCAAGAAGAAGCAACTAGTGAACAGGACAGCAGGAAACTAACAGTGTGTTGTATCCTGGAAGCCAAGAAAAAGTGAATTGAGAAGACGGAATCATCAACTGTGTCAAATGCCGCAAAGTTATGCAGGAGAGATGGGGACTATGATTTGCACTTTTGGATCTAGCTAAGTGTGGGTCACTGGAAATTTGACAATGATATCGTTGGTGTGGCAGTAGAGATAAAAGCCTGGTTGGAACTTGGTATGGGTACACAAGAGAATCAGTACAGGTCTTTCAAAAGTTGTACCACAGGGGAAGAGCAGGGTGAAGCAGTTTTTGTTTTCGATTTCAGATGGGAGAAATAACGGACAATGGTCCAGTGGTGAGCAAATAAATGATAATGTAG